TGGCTGAGACTTTCATCCTGATTTGCTCTGCTTCTGTCTGTGATAATTTATTAATCCGTATGGCAGATTCTGTGGCTGTGATGAGGTCCACTATTGTCACAGGCTGGGTCTCTGACCCAGCGCTCTGTGCATCTCTTTGTATTTGTTTCATTTTTGATATGTTATTAGTTTTTGTGTCTTTTCTTATCTAGCTTTAGTTTGGGCAGTTATTGTTTCTTGTTCCTTGGTTTTCCATGTTTTGGGGTTTTTGTATTTATTCATCTCGTATTAGGTCTGTTAAGTTGTGTTGTCATGTTTAGTGTTTAGTGTTTCCTGTTTTATTTTGACAGTGTCATGTGTTCTTTGGTCATTGTATTTAGTTTCACTCCTCCTGGTCCTGTCATTAGGGTTATGTCTGTCAGCTGTTCCCCCCATGTGTCTCCACTTCCACTGATCACCTCTTGTAGGTATTTAAGCCCTTTGTTTTCTGCTTGTCATTGTCGGTTCGTCTGTTTATTTGACCTCAGTCACAGTCATGGTTTTCGTCCGTTATTCTATGGTAGTCTTAGTCTTAGTCTTTGCCTGTTATTCTCCACCACAGTCATAGTTTAGGTTTTGGTCTCAGTACCATTTAGTATTTTGTTTCTTAGTGTTTTGCCTGTTTGTTTTGGTCTGTTGGTTTAACCCTGCCGTCATTTTAATAAAGCCTCACCTTTCTGTTAAAACCTTACTACTCCTCATCGTCATCTGCTTTTGGGTCCTGTTTCCACACACATCGGCGCACCCCGCCGTGACAACTATGGGCAACTGTTGTGGAGAAATGGCAAAATTGAGTCCTTTAGCTAATACTCTCTTTTCAGGTTCAGTGAGAATCCTGTCTGAAAAGTTCTTTACCCATTTCTCCTGACTGTCTTCAGGTGTGTTTTCTTCTCTGGGTTGTGTAGGTTCAGAATGAGGAGTGTGTGTTTTTGAAAGCAAGGTGTGAAATTTCCTGCGTTGTCTTTCTTTTCCTTTAGAGTGTTGGGCCCGCTGAGCCTTGTCCACAAACTTGTAAACATCTTCTAAGATTGGAGAGGGTAGAAGGATTTCCAGTTCCTGCAGAGTCTGGCTGATCTTGATCTGGACGGCATCTATGGTGAAATGGACCTGTCTTATCCTTTCACTTAAAAGGTGATTTTGTGCTCTCTGTAGAATCAAGTCTGCTCTGTATCCCCTGACCGTGGATCCAAGGCGCAGGCTCTTAGGAACAACTCTGCTTTGTCTGCATCTTAGGTTGAAACGGAGATGGTTCCTATGATCCGCTAGTTTCCTTGATTCCCTTTCATACTCCCGCACCAGTTGAAGGGTGTTCCTCCAAAAATGTACGGCAATATGTCTGTGAAGGTTCTCAGTCATCCAGGTCATCGTAGTCAAAGGAGCTTGCAAAGAAAAGCGTCTGGACTTCTTTAAGTTGTAGCCACAGGTGTAAAGCTGACGTTTAGGGTAGAAAATTCCCAACACGTGTCCATTTGTTTTGCAGTGTTTGAGTTTGTCATGCTTTAAGATGAGCTGCACAGGCTGGAGAACGACCTCTTCAGTTTAAGAGAGACACGACGGGTATTTCCCAGAGTCTGGGCTGCACAGGCCCAGCCACTCTGGCCTCCTCACTCATGCTGGTTACTACAAATTCAACTGAGCTTACACTGCATTAACTCTGTGGGCGTTTAAGTTTTTTCATGACCAAACTGTATGAATTCATGTGATTTACAGTTGAAGGGTATCATTAGAAATCAGCTGAAGGCCACAGTGACTTTTTTGGATGGGCCTTGACCCCCGTTTATGTTTTTATGATGCTTCTTTAGCGAAAGTCTCAGAATTTGTAATAAATCTGGAGAATTGATGAGTTAAGAGGGTATTTAAGGGAACCAAATCACAAAAGTCTCAAAAAATATTTATTTAGTATTTGGGGGATAAAGTATGTAATTAATTCAGAATGACAGTTTTTGGTTAAAAAACAAAAAATAAATAAATATTTACTAAAATGTTAAAAAAACACAAAAAAACTGCCAAAAGTCAGAATTGTGTGGTTCAAAGCTGACTTTGATATCAATATCTTCCATCATCATCATTCATTATCAGCTGTCATGATGAAGAGTAGGAGGAGGAAGTCTTCATCATGTCTCCAAACACAAACAGGAAGCAGTTTGAGTTTTCCCGTGTTAGCAGAAATGTACACGCTGATGATCGGAAAAATATTAGAAATGCTTTGATCCTGAAGCTTTTTGATGTTTAGTCTCCAATAAATAGATTAATGAACAGATTTCCCAAACGTTTGTTAAGTGTTCCTGTTCATGGTTTCCTGGGACGTGTAGCCTCAGTGTTACATCACAGTATCTTTAAGAAAGTCTTCATTTTGAGCTGGCAAATTCCATTTACAGCTTCATGTGATGGAAAAACATCTTTTAATGAAGCTCCTGTTTTATTTATGAAGCACATTTGTGAGCTTCAGATAAATAAATATAACACGAACTCCACACAGGAAACAGGAAGTTTGAAACCCTGAGAATGACTCAGAACTCACTGTTTAACGGTAAATAATCTGATGGATTCATAGTTTTTCTCCTTCAGGTGTGCGTGTTGTACTTCGCGAAAAGCGTTGAGCTGGCAGGTGTGAAGGAAGAGAAGACTGTTGCCGTGCCAACACCAATCAGCAGCCACGACCTTTGGAAGCTGTTGCTACAGCGGCACCCAAGGTAAAAAAAGAAAAAAAAAGCGCACATGAACATACGTGTGAAGACGAATCAAGGTCTAACAAGTGTTTGTGTGTCCAGACTGTGCGAGCTGCAGGACGGCGTCGTGTTGGCAGTGCGTCAGGAGTACGTTCCCATCGGCGACCAGGTGCTGACTCTGGGAGACGGAGACGAAGTCGCCGTAGTGCCGCCGCTTAGCGGGGGCTAAGAGACTTGAGACTGTAAGTAATTACTGATCAGAGATCAAGAAAAAGGTCCATGTCAGGTATTTGCTCCTGCTTCACTGCACAATTTAAAAATCAAAGCATATTTTCCTGTTGTGACTTTAAATCCAATAAATTAATGATAAAGAGTCAACAAGTTTGATCTAAACCACCATTTCTTTTAAAAGATGTCGAAGGAGCTGAGCGATGTCTTCAAGCTGAGCCGTGATTGGCTGTCTGTGCAGGAAGTGGTCGACTCTGTCAGCAGCCCTTCGTGTGGAGCCATTTCAGTATTTATAGGTTTGTTCCCATTTACTTTATTTACTTACCTGGATGACTGAGCATGCATCAAGAAGCAATATGGCACGTTTCTTTTATTTTTAAATATTTTAGAGGAAAATAAGTCAGAAGCATTTGATAAAGGGGAAAGTGATATATTTAATATAGGATGGGGATGTAAAGTGTCAAATGCTGGAGAGGAAAAGAAAATCTAGCATATTGATAAAATATTTAAAATTTTACTTCTTATAACTACTCAAATTTGTGTAAAAGCATTTTAGAAAAACAAAAGCTGAATTTTTATTTAATGTTCCAATACAGCATTTCAACATTTCATGTAAAATTGTGTGAAATGTCAGTATTTAAGAAAGAAGGTAAAGTAAAAACATTTGAGGACAAAGCTGCAGTTCCATTATTTTAGGAAGCTCTTCTAGTTACTTTGTTTTAAAAACAAAGTATGTTTTCTTTTATTTTCTTTTAAACTACAACACTTCAGGGTAATGCTTTACAATAATTGGAGTAACTGTTGCAAAAGCCAGATAAAAATACTTTACTTAATAATAACATCTTGTTGCTATGTCATTTTAAATCTGTTGTTTGATTTGGACACGCTGGTGAGTACGTCGACCCTGAAGGGTTAAAATACTCAGCTTTTATTTCTGAAGCACGACAGACAGATTTCCTGCTCAGTCTTAATATTTTCTACAAGTATTTCTCAAAGATATTATTAGTGTTTTGTATTTAAAGTTAAAAAATAATAATATAGAGGTTTGTTAAAGCAGATCAATAACCAGTAACAGTCACAGCAATGAGTCGTCCTTTTGAGATCAAGCTCCTCCTCACTGTGTGTCAGACTACAAAGAGCTGTTTAGTGGTTCAGGACCAGGTGTGGATGAGGGGAAGACATGAGTCCTCACATTGCTGGCTATACAAATTTGTGCATGCGCCTGTGCGTGCTATGTGTGTACACAGGTACCACCCGCGAGGACGAGGCAGACGGCAGGAAGGTGGTTGGACTGGAGTACGAGGCATATGAGCCCATGGCCCAATCAGAGTTCAACAAGCTGTGTGCTGACATCAGAGCGCGCTGGCAAAGCGTGACACACATCTGCGTCCACCACAGGCTCGGGTGAGGACGCTAAATGTGGCAGGCTGGCGGGGCCACGCTGGTGTTACATTTGTAGTTTTTAACTTAAATAAAAAATATGACACATAGCTTCCACCATCAGGTGGGTGAAGGTGGGCGAAACCAGTGTTGTCATGGCGATCTCATCTCCTCACCGCCATGACGGCCAGCAGGCGATCCAGCACTGCATCAGCCAGCTGAAGGCTAATGTCCCCATTTGGAAGAAGGTGATACCTCGGAGCCAGTCTGATCAGCGCGATCGACACATCATGTCAATGATTATTGATTATTGATTGTGTGCTTGTGATCAACAGGAAGTTTATGACACGCAGGAGGTGAACTGGAAGGAGAACACTGAGTGTTCGTGGTCCAATCAGAAGAAACCGCCAGAAAACACATTGTCTGACGGAAAACCTAAATAAAAAAATGTGATAAAACACAGATACTTGTAGTGGGCGGAGCCATAATTATATGTTTAGACCATTTGAGTTTAACTCTAATTCTCTTCATTTAAAACACAATATTTCAAAAAACTAATGATCATGTAAAGCTTAAAATGTTTTAAATTTGTATTTTTGTATTGACTGAGTCTGACGGTCACATAGATTTTTTTTCCCCTAAGATACTAAATGTATGAATGCTGTAAAATCTTCCAAAATGAACTAAAAACCATCATCAGAACATGAAGAAAAAACTGCTGTAAAACTTAGTGTCCAAAATATCTGTGTGTGTTTATCTTGAAGGTAAAGCATGTCTGTGCTGTCATTTGGTGTGATACCAATTTATACCACAAGGTGGAGCAGTGATTAAGGTTAAATCTGTGTAACCTTGAGTTAACCACGTGAGTTATTAGATTATATTCGTATCTATAGTGGAAGGCTGGGAAAAGTAAATCTTGGGGAGACGGAGGATCTGAAGATGTAATAAAGGTTTTTTTTAAAAAAGCAGTACGCACACCTGCTGATAAAATGCTGCCCTCTGGTGGTAAAATTTTCGATCTGAACTTTGCAGTTAAGATTAAACTGAAAAGCATCATCTTCCTCTGGATGAAGGCAAGCACACAGGTTGAAAGATTTCTCTGTAGTCCACAGGAGGAGGGTCAGTCTGGTGTATTGGTGTTCCAGCAGGAAGCAGGGCGTCTGGTTCACGCACAAAATATGAACCAAGAATTCCTGCGAGTGGTGAACGTGAACTAGAGAGAGGACAAAAGGCTGAAAAATCTGATAAGATGTGAACTGCTGTGCCTTGAGGTGAAGATTTGTTCCTGTCAGTTTGCTGATTAATCTGAAGATGTTTCCTGTCCTCGTTATCGGGCGTCAAACAGACGCGACGCAGGCTTCGTAAAAACATTTTACAAATACTCACGTGTGACGTGAATGATTGAATTTATCGTAGATTAATTGGTTTCTCAAACAAAAAGCATAAAAAATGACCTGATATCAGTCGTCACCTCTGAAACCAAGAGACCATAAAGACAGTAGTAGGTCTGAATGTTTGACTCAGCAAGGGAAATATTAATTGTGGCAAGTTTAAAAGAACCATTCTTGTGCCTGCAGGCACTCCTGCAGTGAGATAAGATCATGATGACTAACAGGCGGAGTGTATCTGCATGTGAATCATGTTTGCGATTGTGTCAAACAATAAAATCTCCTGTAAAACCAACGACGTCATCCAAGAAGCTTAAGAAATCTAGAGCACGTGGTCACCAGAGATAAAAACAAAAGGACATGAAGTAAAGCGTGTAACAGTGAAGCAGATAATAAATCTGCACAACAGCTGGTGCTCACACTCTAGCATACAGCACACCAGCTGCATTTTACCACAGTGGGGCAGTTTTTATGATGTTTATAAATACAGGAAAAACAAATTGAAACCTCTGTCAGAATCATGGTAAGAGCTCGAGTTCCAGGGAAGAAAAAAGCTCTTAAGATGTTATTTTTGGACAGAATATTACATTTGTGTATTCAGTTATGTCCAATTCAGTTTCTTTTAATACCGCTATGATAAGTGCCCAGAGGTGTTTCAAGAGGGTTAATCTGTCTTCTACTGGGGGTAACTATGTCACTGTGTTACGTTCCAGATCATGTTAAACTGATGCTTGTGTTTCCTTTACGTGAGTAGAGACGTTTGCTCCACAACAAAATGCAGGGAATATAAATTAGGGATTACAATTTCAGCAGAAAGCAGGAGATAACATTTCTGTGTCTTTAAATTTTTATGTTTCCTCAAACGAAACCCGATCTCTACCCTTCAGTGATTCACTCTTTCCTTCACTGGTTGTGTGTGAAAACTAGTAGGCATTCGAGTTACCTGCTCAGGTGATCAAACTCAACAGGCTCTGAACCTGTTGAGTCACCTGATGAAGGTGAAACTAGACTACTTCTTCTTTTTTTTCTTTTTTTAAAGAAAAGGTTTCCATAGGTCATCGCCTCTCATTTCACCCATTGCTAAATGGGTGAGGAAAATGAAGCAAGCATTGGGTTGCTGTAACTAACCTGATCAATTAATACATGCCTGCTTCTCACAGGAGCCTTTACGTTGGCCGTTAAATGATCGTGCACCTTTTATCTAACCTCTTTTTTTCTTAACATGTTCAGAGGATAACATGCCCCATATGAATGATGTATAAAACGATTCAGCAATAAATTCGATGTTTCTGAAGCAAACAGTGGACAATGTTTGGATTTAGTTATTTCTGTTAAGTTATAGAGATAGAAATTAAACAGAACAACAATATGAAACCATTATAATAAATAATTATGATTGCTAAAACACCATAAACAAATAAACTTTAGTTACCCCTAAAATGGGAAATTCCCGAATTCCGCAACTCAAAACAGGAAACACAACCAGGAACAAAAAAAAGAAACTAGATTAACTTTTCAGTAGATGTTACTACAAATAAAAGCGCTCAAGGAAGTAGAAAAGCTAGGTTAAATGTAACAGCTCAGCAACTACAAGTCTAAATAAAAATGCCAACAACAACGAGTAAAAACTAATGCGTTTGATGTTTTTAAATGAACAGCTTTACTTTGAAATTGTCCCGGAAGTCTGGTAACAGTTTTTATCCCCCAACCCTCCGCTATTCCGGTCAGCTGACCAAGAGTCGGTCTGCTGACTGTCAAACCCTCCAAGTCTGCACTGATACTGGGAGACTACCGTCACCGGGCCGAACCCTGCTCTGGCCATGTTATCGGAGCTCCTTTCTCGGGCAGCCACCTGACACCCTCCGCTGTGATCCGGAAGTGCAACGGTTAGCCTAAACACGCCAAAGTCGCGGAAACAGCCGGATTCTCCCTGTCTTCCGTGACCGCTCATCTGGTCGTCTCCATCCCAAGCCCGTGTGACTCCAGCCGGCCCACCTCCCAGGCAGCTTCCGCTGACAGCCATGGCCCTGCTGGACCTCGCCATGCAGGGCCTCGCCGTGTTCGGCTTCATCCTGTTCTTCGTGCTGTGGCTCATGCACTTCATGTCCATCATCTATGTGTGAGTGCATCGCGAAGCGAGGCTAAACATTGCTAACAGCTAGCCTCGGCACAGCTCCTTCCTTTATTTCTGTCTGTCCCCGTGTGGTTATGTGTGAACGGGGTTAAACTCGGAAATAAGCCGACCCCCTGCTCCTGGGGACAGGTTTGTGGATGTATGACAGGAGGTGAACCTGCAGCCTGGACGGTTAGCTCGTTGGTTGGGCGTTTTCCTGGTTACCGCTAGCCGGGTAATGTTAGCTCGGACGGGATATTCCGGTTACTGCGGTCCTTTCAGGTGGTAGTTAACTAAATCACGTCATTAATTATAGTTTTATAAACCGTGAATCGATAACAAGGAACCTGAAGTAACCGTATTTCATCGTACAGAACAGTTTAAATGGCGGTAGATGTTTAGGTGACGTTTCTGTAGCTTATTACGCACCTAATTTCCTGCTTCCTCTTAACGCAGAATCTCACTTTATTAAAATAGGATTTTAGAATTTTCATTCAGCAGCCGCTTTTCTTACATTATGGAGTGTATGTTTAGTGTTGTATTTAAGTGTTGTGAGCCGTTGTTTAATTCGGCTGTAACCCATTTTATCTTTTACTTTTTAATTCCATGAATTTCTATGTTTTTGGTCATGTTTATACTTCTGTACACAGAGCATGACTAAATCAGTTAACTTTTAGTAGGACAGAAGATAAGCATCGTACATAGAAGCCATACCTTTGTGCAGCACCATAAGGGAAGCTGAAAATGAGCATGGGCTTTGGTGCTGTGGAATTTGTGGAACTTATCTTTGCAGCTTTAATTTTTTTTTAATGATTTGGACTCAACAGAGTGAATTCATGCTGCAGGTCTTATAGCAGCACCTGACCTGGCAAAAAAAAACAAAAACCCAACATATCCTGTAAATGGACTTGGTTCGTTCATCTCCACCGCTATAGTAAAAGTTCCAGGCAGTCTAGGATTTAAACCCTTTAATTTGCCTGGTTTTCGTAAGATTAGAAAACTTAAAGAAGTTTCTTTTAAACCCCTCCAGATCTTTGAAAGAGCAAAAAGCAGCTCAGCTGACTTACTGAAGGTTTTGTGAGATTTGCTTCCCCTGAAATTCTTAAGAAGTCATGTGACAGCTTCCTTTTTTTCAGTAGGGAAAGAAAATTGGAGCATACTTCAAACAAACATGGGAAATGTGTTTTAGTTGGCTGTTAAAGGTGAAAGATAACGGGAGTTGATCTGCACAGGGATGTGGAACTGTTGGAGGTAAACATGCTTCCAAAGTTTCTTGGAAATCCGGGAATCTGTCACAGTGTGTTCATACATACAGTGTGTTCAACACGTTCATACACGTTCACACTTCCCTGGAAGATGTAGGGAGGACTGCAGCATTCATGCCTGCTTTCAATGGGATTAATATTTGGAATGAAAATGACACATCACACATGCGCTCTTCTAAAGATAATAAAATAAAGTTATATGTTCACTTTGACAACATGTGAATCTATACAGATAACATGAGGATGAAATAATTGGGAAGGCTAATTAAAAGCTGAGCTAGTTTGTTTATTATCTTAACATAAAATTATCTGTAAGGACAGCAAAGCCATGTGCTTTCACCTTGATCGCCTTTCCCTCACTCTTATCCTTGGATCAAACAGACAGTCACTGCCTTTGGTCTTATTCATGACCATTAATGCTCAATGTCAGCATGACGAGTGAGGCAGCCTATGTGAAACGGACTCTCATGAAGAGCCTTTAGTCTCACAGGCAGTGTTTTCACAGGAAAACACCAGCTAACTCCTTCATCACATAGTTTAAACCTAAAGTGATGCCTTGAGCTGACAGAAAGCATCACTGACAGAAGCTGAGAGAAAATGAATCATATTTTAATCTAAATGAACTGTATCACTTAGGAGTTAAAAGGAGCTTTTAAGCATGACAAAGAGTGGTTCGATAAAATGTTGATATTGACTGTCAGATAAACATATCAACAGCAAGAAAGTGCTTCTATGCACAGCTATGTGCGAGTGACGCCTGTACCACAGACCTCTGGGTGTGAAGCGTTTGTAAGGGTGGTGCCCTGTAACTCCGTCCTGATGGTAGAGGATATATTCACCATGAGGAGGGTGTGAGACATTGTTGAGGATGTCACACCTTTTTCCAGCACTTGGAACTCCCAGAGTTGCATCATACCATGTTGTTCCTAACCTGCAGTGTTTACAGACATATTAAGGTCTGCACAAAACACACTCTGTACTTCTGTCCACCTCCAACCATCTCCACATCAAGTACAAACCTTGTAATCCTTCTCTAAATGACTCAAAGCCATCCCGCTCGCTCTAAAAGCAAAAATTATCTCTTCTGTTTTCAAATGGAGAAAACAGAGTAACAAAGTCTGTTTCATCTTCTCTCATCAAACCACCAATCGTTGCACCTTCAGTAAATTAAAGACTTCAGATGAGTTAATGTACTGCATTCACAGAGTAATGAATGGAGATGTACTGCAGTACACCCCGGAGGGCCGTCGTGGTAACAGATGATACTGCAGCTTTCACTCTAACGTGCAGTGATCAGTCAGCTAAAAAGGATTGAGCACATCTGATGATTGTGCTGTGCAGCCTTTGATATGTGCTCTTACTAAATGCAGATGAAACATGGCACACACAGGTTTGGTCGAGATGACTGTGTATTTTGTGCGGTACATGTAAAAGAGCATTTCCTGTATGGCCTGTGCCTTTGATATTTTTGGTACAGGAACTGTTAATGAGGACTTTCAGGCTCTGGGAACTCGATGGGTCTTATGAATGTTCTTATGAACCTCAAATATGAGGTCTTATGAATCAGATTTGGAACAGGCGACTGAAGAAGACCCTCTTTCACTCCTGCTGCTTTTCGAATATTAATAATTTTAAAAGTCTGAGAAACTTCCTCTGCTTTTACATTTACTTCTTGGCCAGGATTGTTCCACAATATCAACTATGGTCTGTGTTGAAATCTGTTTGTTTATTGTCTAATTTCCTCTTTCTGAGGAGAAAGAAGCGAGTCGCCTTTGTTCCCCTGCAGACAGCTTGTTTGTGCTTCCTCGTTGCTGCTTTTACTTCTCCAGCTACCCATAGTTTATCTTTTAAAAATCTCTATGTTGTGTCAAAACTTTCCCTTATCAAAAGAGAACTGTAGAGCCTATGAAGATGCCGTAGCTTTCTGTGAGACAGTGCACTGTCATTATTCTTATCTCACTGATTGAAGCTCAGGTTTGCTGGTTTTAAGCGGCTGTGTGTAGAGAAGTGTTCTGAACCCTGTAGTGCCTTGTTTATATTTGCTAAAATATAAATCCAGGTCCCTCTCCTCTCTGGTAGGATGCTCTGAAGTTCCTCAGTAGAGTTTACAGGGTATTAGAAACAACATTTGGTAACCTACTTACCTAACCGTATCTTATCTCTGCTGCAGCCCAAGTATTTGCTCTCTGATTAATATAAATAAGCTATAAAAAACTTTACAATCTCCATAGATGGGTCTAAAGGACAAGGACAGAACATCACTATGATAGTGTGTAGCTGTTGCACCATCTGTCATTAATATAAATACACAGACACCTCCACCTGCTTTTTTTCACCACTCCATTCTTACAGGATCGCTGAACGCTGTGACGTGAAGGGAGGAACTCTTTGTGTCCTTTACAAAGTTCATTTCAATTTGTTTTTCTAATTTTGTAAATGTGTTTTTGGTTCAGTTAGTTCCCAGTTTTTATTTCTTTGGAAGTCTGGTTCTTGTTTTTATTTTAGTAACTAAAATCTCTTAACAGGCTTAGTTTGAGCTCACTAGGAAAACCTCAGTCTGGATATCGTGTTTGTGCTTCCAGTTAAAAGGCCATCATTGTCCTCCCTGGATCAGAACACTTTGCATTAATTTTAATAGTTAAAGTAAGCTGCTGGAGCAGGTCTGACACAGGAAAATATACTAGCTCCCTTCCAGTTAGCGCTGTTCGATATAACGATATATATCAGATGACGATATAAAAACGTCTATTTTATGCTATCATTTGTTTCGTGGTGTCGCAAAATAAACTGTTTACGGCAATATTTCTTCATCGTTTTGGTGGTCACTGTAGGGGCTATATTAATTTCTTAAAGTTCTCTCTTTCTCTTATATTTAATATAACCACACTACAGACGGACAAGCGCCTGTTTTTATGCGTTGTGGTTAGCAACAACGACGGTAACAGCATCGCGTGTCCGCTTCTTTATGTTCCACATAAACCTTTCACATAAAGCTCAAGATCCTGTTGAGACTTTTCAAAATAAACTGAATCACGTGAAAGAGCAGATTATTTACCAGATGAGAAGTAAAAAAGAGCCGGCAGGTGCTAAAAATGAAACCGTACACTCAAACGTTAAAACAGGCTTTTCTCCACAGCACGCCGTGTAATAAATACTCACAAAGAAAACGGCGGCCGTTACAACTTATGTCTAAAAATGTATAGTTTCATGCGTCGGTTAAAACACTCGACTCCAGCTACATGACTTGCAGCAGGAAACACTTCATGCAAGTCGAGCTGCTCGAGATTCACAGAATTTACAGAAAATGTTACATTTTTGTGATTTATATCGTTATCAGGATGATAGAATTCTTATATCGGGATATGAGATTTTGGTCATATCGCACAGCCCTACTTCCAGTACAACAATAAAGTTAAATAGAACCTGGAGCTATAAATCTTTACCTTTCCTTTGGCCAAACTGATTTCCTAATAATAAAATAAAACACTGAAATAAATCAAAGGTCACCCGTTAGATAAAACGCAATCTGTATGAATGAATGATTTTATTTTTTTAGCCCAGTGATACATCACAGTCAGATTATGCTAACAGGAACTTTTTCACCCAGGCGCTGCAGATTTTCCATTCTTGATAAACCCAGAGACTCAAAATAGATTTTAAAATATGTTTGTTATGATGTTCTCTTTAAATAATGTTTTTATTTGTTTGTTTTTTTCAAATGTTTCTTTGATTTTTACCTGCTGACCTTTGACCTCTTTCTTTCAGACGTCTTCACCTCCACAAGAAAAGACCAGAGGTCAAACAGCCGTTCATGCAGCTAGCTGGAGTTTCTCTGCTGAAGCCACTAAAAGGAGTTGACCCGAACCTGATCTCCAACCTGGAGACATTCTTTACACTGGATTACCCAAAGGTGAAGCCAAATACTCCCAACCCAGATAATTACCCCTTAGTACTCCCCCCAGCTAACCTATCATGACTGCCTGACTACCAAGACTCCTACTGTCCCACCCTACAGTCCCAGTTACCATCCCACTGTCCTGGGCTACCATCCCTGTCCTTCCACAGACTGACCTTCCATTGCCTCAGTCTACCCTGTAACATTTACTAACCTTTGAGCTCCAATAATAAACATCTGTCTGCTGTTGTACCGCTTCTCAGACTAATTGAAACATTTGGTTTTACAGTTTGAAATCCTGCTGTGCATTCAGGATCAAGACGATCCAGCTGTTGACGTCTGCAAAAAGTTGTTGGGAAAATACCCGAATGTAGACGCTCGATTATTCATTGGTGAGAAAAAATTACTTTAAATTATGCTTCTTTTTTTTTTTCTTTTTTTCTTACATGTTTTTCATCTGTTAGCAGCTAACATTAGCATGTGATGTCTCTGGTTCTCAGGAGGGAAGAAAGTTGGAATTAACCCCAAGATCAATAACTTGATGCCGGGCTACGAAGGAGCTAAATATGGCCTGGTGTGGATCTGCGACAGTGGCATCAGAGGTCAGTTCTTCACCACTGATGTGATGGCTATCATTGTTTTCATTGTTGATTCTAAAGCTAACTCCCTTTGTGTTTGTGTGTTGCAGTGAAACCGGACACCCTGACAGATATGACTAATCAGATGACAGAGAAGGTGGGACTGGTACATGGGTTACCGTACGTTGCCGACCGCCAAGGCTTCGCTGCCACACTGGAACAGGTAAAGTCACACTAATGTAATGGGAATTCTTTTCTTTACTTGTCTTGATGCTAACAAATGCTAACACTAACCTGTTTCCAGGTGTACTTTGGGACATCCCACCCCCGCTCATACATCTCGGCTAATGTGACTGGGATAAAGTGCGTGACGGGTATGTCATGTCTGATGAGGAAGGATGTTCTGGATCAGGCCGGCGGATTGGTCGCCTTCGCTCAGTACATTGCTGAGGATTACTTCATGGCTAAAGCTATTGCTGACAGGTTGGCACGTTAACATTAGCACCCTGTCGATGTTGCTGTCAGAGCTTCACTTCACACTTATCCTATCTCTCTGCAGAGGCTGGAAATTCTCCATGGCGACACAGGTGGCGCTGCAGAATTCTGGATCTTACTCCATTGGCCAGTTCCAGTCCCGCATGATCAGGTGACCTCAGTACTCATTACTGATTGATTAGTGATGGTTTTTAAATGTTTTTCCCTCCATTTTGCCTGGTTTTTTTTGGGGGGTTGGTCCATGACCTGCAGCAAGACATAATTTTATTTACATTTATTGTGTTCTTTAATTTCTTACCTGTTTTGTTTTTCACAATAAGCCATTAGCATTTAGTTTTTATTATTAGTTATAAGCAGCGTTATTAGGGGCGTGGGCTTTTGACTAAAGAGTAGTTGTAGCTGTTGGACCATAGCTCATAATTCTGAATCCCCTCTTTGACCTGAATCCTCAAAGCAGCTGATATTAATCAAGTTTTATGTTTGCAGGTGGACGAAGTTGAGGATCAACATGCTTCCCGGCACCGTGCTTGAGCCTGTTTCCGAATGCTTCCTCGCCAGTCTCATCATCGGCTGGGCCGCTCATTATGTGTTCAGGTACACAGTTGACCACACAGTGATGAGGTCATTGGTTGACTGGGCGTTTATTGTTCTTTAGCCTCAATCACCAAAAAATAGGTTAAACATTTATCACCTGGACATCATCCAGAGAAACTACAGTATATTGATCTGTGTGTGTGTGTGTGTGTGTGTGTGTGTGTGTGTGTGTGTGTGTGTGTGTGTGTGTGTGCTTTAGATGGGACATGATGGTGTTCTTCATGTGTCACTGTCTCGCCTGGTTTATATCTGACTACATTCAGCTGACCGGGGTCCAGGTAATATCACATACTTCTAATTTAAAAGGAATATTATTTTTTTCAACAACAATTACTTTTTCATTTTTAAGAATTCAGAAACACAAATATGAAGCTGCCAATTACTGATGTTTTCCGATTGATTTAATAATAATATGAAAAATATGAATGTTGTCTTAATTTTCTTCCTTTAAATAGAAAAGATGAAAGTTTAGTAAGTAAGGTTAATTAAATTAAAAAAAAAAACTTAAGCCAATTAAAAAATAAAAACATTAAAAACTGGAACAAAAAGATTAAAATATTTGAAGGTTCAGTTCAATAAATAATCGTAAAAATGTTTAGATTTAAAAGTTGTTTTTTTTTAATGAAAAACAATACAAACAAATGTAAGAAAGTTAATAAATTTAAATGAAATTGAAAAATAAGGAGATTTTTTTTTTAAAAGTGTGACTGATTACTGGTTGATGACATCACCACAGGGCGGCCCTCTGTGCTTCTCGAAGCTCGACTTTGCAGTCGCCTGGTTCATCAGGGAGTCGATGGCGGTGCAGATCTTCCTGTCGGCTCTGTGGGACCCAACCATCAGCTGGAGGACTGGACGCTACCGGCTACGTTGCGGAGGCACCGCTGAGGAGATCCTCGATGTCTAGTTACCTCGGTGACGGGCCTCATCTGCCCCTCCACCCTCACCTCCTCATTACAGCGAGGAGAGGAAGAGACTGATGTTTGTTTTTGTTTTTGTTTTTCTCTTTTTTTATGAGGAAAAACTGAAGTGTGTGCGTGTGCACATGAGCGTGCGTGTGTGTGTCTGTGTGTGTGCGTGTTTTAACTATTTATCTTTCTTTTGGTGCTAAAAGCTGAAAGACGCCAGAACAAGCCAATGAGAGAGCAGGAAGCAAGGAAATATGTGAGCGACACATGCACTGAATCATCTGGTCTCTGATCAGAGCAAGAAAACAGGACGACTGTGAGCCAATCAGGACAGAGGACTACACAATACTCCCACCTGATTGGCTGATATTATTTTGCATGGAAGGTATTGACGGGCATAAAATAGGCATGAACGAGAGCAGACGTTTTACTCTGAAAGTCCTCTGTGCTGTCAGATATTTAAAAAACTACTTAATTTGAGACTGCAGCACAAACTTGAATGTGACATTCGTCACATTCACATATCAGAAGAACAAGAGTCAGCTTTCACTGTTTTTCTATGGCAAAGCCTTCTCTTCTTCGGTGGTTTTTGAAAAGCTGGAGCTGGAGGACTGTGCTGTTTTCAGAGTAAAATATCTGAAACCTTCTGATTATCACGACTTTTATCCGTTTCCATTGTTTTACAAAAGTAAACAAACAAAAAAAAACTTTTGGATAAAAGAGGAAAATCTGTCCTGGGTGGTTCTGACTGGATGAGCTGAAGTCGTCCAGTTCTGGTTCTGGAGTCATAAAGAGACTTCAGCTGAAACTAATCTTCAGCTCCGGAATCATCTTTACGTGAAAGGTGAATTATATTCAGCTTCTGAGCCTTGTGAGTCACTACAGGAAAGCAGCTGCTTGGTTTTTGCTTCTGTCCATAAAATCTGTGCAGCTTTAGGATAAACATAAAAAAAAATGCAAACATGAGCAGCTGAAGGACTTGAGGCCGCTGACTGTCGTTTAGGAAAAAAAATGAAGTGAACAATGAACAAGTGAAGTTTTCTCTTAATTCATCATTAAGTTATTTGAAGAAAAAAAATCCTTGTAATGAAATGAAATCGTCAGAATGTCATTATTTTGTCATTGTGAAGGTGCAAAGGTACGGAAACGTGACAAATTATTGTCACAAAATCAACAAGTTCAATCATCAGTTCAGCTGCAAAACCCATAAACGGTAAAATACTCTTTAGTCCGATGTGAGATGCACATCATTATTAAAAATAAAAATAAATTAAATATTTCTTTGCCATTTCATTTTAAATTGTTAAAACAACAAGTATAAAATTGATCTAAATTTTAAACTGAAAAGATTAGAAAACTTCTAAAGGGATTGTTGTCTTCTTGAGTAAAATCCAGAAACAAAAAAAATTACAGTGGGAAAAGAGTTGTCTTAATTAAAAAACTAAATTACCAAATGAGACAATAACTTTTCTGGGAGCTCAAATGTCTTTTTCTCCCCTGATTTAATCTCTGACCCTGGAAAACACTTGGGAATCTAGCACTGAATGAATTCCAGTATTTTTTGTAAGGAACGGTCGTAGCATTTCAAGAATTTCTCTTAATGTAAAAAAAAAAAAAAAAAAAAAAGGACCAAAAATCCACATTTCTGAAGTTTTCAGTCTGAACACTGTGTATGTGTGTGAGGATGTGAGAGAAAGTGTTTCTTTAAGCTCAATGTTAGCGTTTAGCTGTTACCGTAGCCACTTGCGGTTTGGTTGATGACATCACTCTGTCGGATGAACCCTCGTGGCCAGTCAGATGAATCATGTTTGTTTATTGTTGTTGTTGTTTATTTTTTCTAAAGACTTATCTAATGTGGAACAGACCGATCACAGTTCACAACTGTGTCACGATAGGAACAATAAAGTTTTATCTCAACCTAAAATCTGTAAGTGTTTTGTGACAGGCTCAGTTGATTGAGTGGGGGGAGTCTTTGGCAGTCAGATGATTTTATTTAATTATTCAGTGATTCATGCTACAACTTCCTGTCAAAGTTTCAGAATAAATAAAAATTAACAAACTTTGTTTTGGAGCAGAGTGCGGCTTAGCTTAGCGCTGCCCCCTCCCGTCATGCACTGGTCCATGTTAAAAATATTTCATATAATAACAATAAAGTCCCACCAGCTCCCACAATGCACCACAACTACTTTACATCAGCTGATACATTCAGGTATAAAAACAGTTTGTTTTAACAAAAAGTTTAAATAAAAATCAAAATAAAATCCCAACATTTTAAACAACCATTTCTAACCTTATTCTGAAAGGGCAAATATATTTTGAAGATTTCATGTTTTCACATACACGCTTTTTAATCCCAACTGTTTATTAATTAATTAACCAAGGCTAGAATAAATATGTAGACAACTGTAAACAAAAATGCTTTCAAAACATTAGCAGGGAATGTTATTTTGAAAGGCAATAGTAGGTGGGTTTATCGCAAAATTCTTTTTTTTAAAAACGGTGTGGTTTACATTTAAATTTAAATGAAGAAAAACAGTTTTCTAGGCCATTCAAACAGGAAGTGATTTCATAATGGGGGCAAATGGATTTGTCCAATTAAAAGGCACAGGAACTTTGGCTTGTTTTGACCCCACCCACCCACAACGCTTGTAACAATTTCACATAAAGTGCTTAAAATCTTTAAATAAGCGGAAAAAAACTCCAATATTAAAAGAAGTAAATTAAAAATGTAAAATGGGGAAAGTTGAACAGAAAATGAACTAAATGGCAGCGGTAGGCAGGTCTGAGGTCAGAAGGCAAACTGGGAATCGGCAGCTTCCTGTATTTTGTGGCTTTTTTCCCATTTAAAAAAAAAAAAAAAAAAATCGAATCCAAACAGAAAATGAAAAAAAATATTAAAATAAGGGAGTGAAATTAATAAAATTAATTCAGTAAAAGATGGGACATTTGAAGCTCAACCACTCACAACTCAGCTTAATACACACACACACACACACATAAATACCCACGCACAAACACACAGAAAGCCTTACATGTTGTACAGTATAAATACATTCATGATTAAAAAACCCACCCAAAATGTTGACCACCAACAAAAATATTTTAAATGAAGTAGAAAAATTCTACTTTAAAAAAAAAAAAAAATCTAAAGACACACAAAACAATCCATCACCAAAACCTCCAAACACCACGTAAAAAACCAGAACCCAGCATAATAATTCAGAAAATAAGGCACAGAAGAAGATTTGAGATCGCAGCTTAACCCTAAAATAATAATTAAAAATAATAATCATTAACATAATTCCAGCCAATCAGACGGCAGTGTGCAGAGAGGCTGAAAATTCAAAAATAACAAGGCGGAAGTTTGTGAAGAACGAGAAAAATAAAAACCTGAAGTAAAAAGAAAAACGTTGGAATCTGAATTTTAAACATAAAAAAGGGTCAAATCATTTCATTTCATTTAAAAATAATATCTATAATAATTTACTTAATGCTCATTGGTAATTTTAAATAAAGATAAATTTAAAGTAAACCTTTGATAAAAGGCAGGTTTTTTTCCTTCTTTTTTTTTTTTTTTTTTTTACTTCCTGATTTCGTTTCCTGCATCACATTAACAAACACAAACTGACGTCACCTCCATGATGGACTTCATTACCCACAATGCACTGCTACTCAGTCTGCTCCGGAATGTGCTCTGTAACCTCTGTAGCCATGGCCATGACCCTCGGTTGTGACATCATTTGCCACCATGATACGAGGCTTGCTGTAGGCACAGAAAGATATCCCCGTGGTCTGTCTGTCTGCGCCGCGGGCCAATCAGAAGCCCTGCGCTCTGAGCGGCCGCTCAGAGGTCAAAGGTCAGATGGTGGACTTGGAAAAGGACACCCGGAGGTGCTGGTTGTGGTCCAGCTGGTGGTCGTGAAGGGCGATCAGAGCCTCAATGGCTTCCTCCACCGAAGCCAGCTGCATCAGCGCCATCTTCCTATCCTTCCTGTGACATCAGAGGAAGTGACATCATCACCCACAACCCATCAGAAAGGAGGGAGAGGAAAGGAGTACATAAACACTTACAAAAAAAAAGTTTAAAGAATTTTTAATATTTTTTTTAACATTAGAAACTGAAGAGAAAACTGAACTTTTTAAACAGTTTATTTCATTATTTTTTTCTTTTTTCATTATTTCGTAAAGTAAACATTTCATACAGTAAACAATTATAGATTTAAATAATATTTTATAAAAATTTAAATTTAAAATTATTCAGTAACATCTGTATTTAAAAAATATGTTTTTTGTTTTCATTTAAATAGTATTTTTCTTTTTAAATAAATCATAATAATCTGCCTTTTTCTGATTGGTTAACAAGCACAAATCAGTGAACGGAGTTGCTTTGTTACTTACTGGAAAAACTTGAAAGCTTTTACTGCAAATCCATTCAAAGAAAATAAATCCTTCAACGCCTCCTCGCTCACTGAAGAGCTAGGAAACAAGGAAACAATGAAGGACAACGATATTTAAATGCATATCAGTCTCCAAGAGTCAAACACATCAAACAGGAAGCGAGGCGGTCTTACGGGATGTTGGAGAGGTGCAACGTTGCTGACGGAGGGAAGATGTTGTTGAAGTTTTTGGAGCCCGGCTTTTTGAAGCGGTGGAGGGCAGAGCCTGAGAAGTCCCGAGTCAGTGCTTGTTCTTCTTGCCCAGCCCCTCCGCGAGGCAGCTGCACCACCGGGTGTTTGGACAACGTCACCCGGATCACGTTACCATGGAGACGCTGCCCGTTCAGGTGACTCATCGCTGTCATTGAGGAACAAAGAGATAAACAAGAATTTGTCTTCTGCTCATCCATTACAGTATTAAAATCATTATAAATACAATTCCGAACTTTTCATTCATTATAATTCAATTGACCACTGTACTCCCGTGCATTTAGTCATTATTCATGACAATATTTATTATTATCAGGGCTCTAGAGTGCGACCAATTTGGTCGCAAATGCGACCAAATTTCTCCATGGTGCGACTAATAAAAAATACTTGGTTGCACCGGTGCGACCAAGTAAAAAAAATACTTGGTTGCACCGGTGCGACCAAGTAAAAAAAATACTTGGTCGCACCGGTGCAACCAAGTATTTTCTCGGAAAAAAAACGTTTCAGCAACCCTGAAAGTCTCCGTGTGTTCAACAACAGACACACATTATGCCCATGTCGTGTTCTAAACCAATCAGAGATACTCAGAGGCGGGGACCTCTGTGATTGGCCGTGGTCCAGATATTCCTGCAGACCTACTTGTGTTTACGTTTGAAAGTGCGGGCAGATAGAGAAGGGTGAGTAGCCCAGGTCAGAAGTGTATGAAGTTGGTATTGAGAAAATATGAAAAGAACAATTGATAACTTCTTCGTTAAGTTAAGGCCTGATCAGTCCAAAATTCTGAGCCAGCGCTCTGACACGGAGCCATCAACCTCTCCGTTTTTGTCAAACACTGGTCCGGAGACGGCATCAGAAAATGAGCCACATACGATCGACTCCCAGCCGGAGTCCACTGAAAGTAAAAGTGAGAAAATGTATAAATTTCGAATCGAGTGGCTAGACCAGTTTCCCTGGCTAAGATACAGCCAAGCTGACAATATGATGCACTGCATTTATTGTCGCGAGTGTGGAAAGACCATGGCCGGCAACACAGCATTTGTCACTGGTGCTAATACGTCTAGAATTGAAACGCTGAAAAAGCATACAGCATCGAGAAGACACATTATATGCCGCGATAAATGCTCTGCCAAAATGTCCCCGCTCCCCACTGCCTTTCAGCGGCAGGCAGGAGTAAACAGGTCATCGGAGGAGGCCGAGATGATCATTAAGTTTAACATCGCCTACAATATTGCAAAAGAAGAAGTTCCGTTTACTAAGTTCAAGTCAGAAATAACTCTTCACAAGAAAAATGGCTTGGACATAAACCCCACATACAGCAATGATGTTGCGTGCGCCCAGTTTATAGGCGTAATCGCTGACACACTGAAAAAAAAGACGTCAGTGGAAATTGCGAACAGTGCATACATGGCCTTCCTGATGGATGGAGACACAGACATCGCCACAAAAGAATGTGTCATTGTGTACGCTCGTATCTTGCAAAAAGGAAGACCAGCGAATATACTGATTGGACACATTGAGGTCCAGCATGCCCATGCCCAAGGTAAGCCATGTCATGTCACGTAGCCTATGTATATGATTAATAATATTACGTCGTGTTACTGAATTAACCATATCTAGCATGTTCTTATCATTGAAAATTAAACATAGCAATAATACATGAATATAGAAACTCAAACTGAAAAAGACTGCATTGTAAACTCTTGATCTGATAAGTAAATGGTATTTTTTTTAATTTGTTTAGGAATTTATGCTGCCTCAAAGAAAGCATTTGCTGCTCTTGGGGACCAGTGCAGTAACTGGTTGGATAAAATCATTGCTATGGGGGCTGATGGAGCTGCTGTTAATTTGGGCAGCAAAGGGGGTGTCAAGTTAATCATTTTGAAAGGTTGTTAGTTAATCATTTACAAATTAAAAAAAACGTGAACATGTAAAACTGCGGTGTTAAGTAATGCAGTTAAAAAATTTGGGTACGCCTAAATTTTGTGCTGGTGCGCCTAAATTTTATTTTTAGGCGCACCAGTGCAACCATGGCAAAAAGTTAGTCTAGAGCCCTGATTATGCTGAATTAATCATCATCACAGATTAATTCACTGAACTGGAATTAAAAACTAAAGTAGCTCTGACCTTCTGTATCATCGCTCACAGCTTCATTAAAAATGAAGAAAAAAAATGTTAAAATGAATTAATTTTGTTTTTTTTAAATGAACTGAATTGTTTCAGACCGAGTTGAGCCTGCGTGGCGTCGCTCATCTGAACAAGAGCGTTTTCCTTCTTGTTGAAGAGGATTTTCACTCTCTGAACGTCTCCGTAAACACCTGAAAAAACATGAAACAAAACTGTCAATGAATCAGCACAGAAACACCTTTCAAACACGTTAAAGAAATAAAATCTGAGTTTTCCTACCGAACAGGATGAAGAGGCAGTGAGGCGTGACGTTCTGCAGAAGGTGAATAAAATTAGTTCAGTGGAAAATATATGTTTAAAGATTATAACTTTAAGTTTTTGACTAAGTATCGTTCCTTTCCAATTCCACCGAAAGCAAAAGAAAATCAATTTAAAAATTTAAATGCCATATATCTGTCCAATGACTTCTTCACAAGAAATTCAATATACAGGGCGGGCCATTTATATGGATACACCGTAATAACATGGGAATGGTTGGTGATATTAAAGTCCTGTTTGTGGCACATTAGTATATGTGAGGGGGCAAACTCCTCAAGATGGGTGGTGACCATGGTGGCCATTTAGAAGTTG